TCAGGGACATGGTGCTACCCATGTTATGCCGTGGTAACAAGTTTACCGTTGTATGTGACAACTTCTTCTGTACGTTAAGGTTGTCACACTACCTTGCTTCATGTGGGTGCCAACTTTTGGAACCATGAGGATTAATAGGAAAGAACTTCCTGATGAAGCCAAGGCAATCAAAGGGAGAACTCCCGATACCACCATCTTTTTCTCGAAAGGAAAGTGTAAGCTCATCTCTTACTTCAACGAGAATAAGAAGCTGGTATTGGTCTTGTCAACCTGCCACGAAAAGAACGAAATTGAAGTCGTCGAGCAGGATGTGTTCATTGGCAAAGAAAAAATGACAATACACAAACCCCAACCCATCCTTGATTACAACCACAAAATGGGTGGGGTTGACACTGTGGATCAGATGACCAGGTATTATACGTGTAGACGTCGAACAAACAGGTGGAACATCAGGGCTTTATATGATATGATTGATAAAGCTGCCTTAAACGCGTATAAAACGTACTCAAATTACCACCCTTGCAAACGAGTGGATTTTTTGAACAGTCTTTCTGGTGCTTTAATGAAAATGAAATGATTTTTCTATTTTGTTTGGTTTTTTATAAAGTAGGAACTGTTTATTTCATTCAATACGTGCTTTTTTATTGAACTTCAAAAAAAATTATCGTGAAATAAAATAAAAATAGGGGTCATTATACCATTTTTTTTCTTTTTTACTTATGGATAAGTTTTTAAAAACTTGTGTTATAACAACATCGTGATGTTGTTACTCAACATCATAAACAACCGTTGGTAAAGTATATGCATGAGTATTATGGTGATAATGGTGTTATAATGGTGTTTGTTGATAAATCTATTAAATTGTAAATTTATTATTACAAAACTATAATTTATTAAATTTCCATTTTAATAAATAATATTTTTTATTATATAATATAGTTCAAAATATTTTTTTATTATTTGTTAAGTTTTTTGCTATTTGTTTTTTTTGTTTATAATTTCTATTATCCCTTTATTTTTAATTTAAATTATTTGTTTGTTGCCCAAAAATGCATAATTTAAAAATGCATAAACAGTGAATGCAAAATAAGCATTTGATTACCATATACAATAACATTTATATGAAAATGATAATATCAAATCTATTTTGCCCTTCGTTTTTGTTTGAAAATGTTAAAAAAATAAAATAACAAATAATGAATTCATATCTTGCTTCTTTGACAGTGGCACGACTTGAAACTCAACGGGTGATCACAAAACCTCATGGTGATCAAAGTTTATACAAACGCGACTATATTGACTGTTTAAGTCATTTTCGAGAATTTTTCTCGATTTTGTGATTTTTGATACTTTTGAAAATGTATTTTAGATATTTTTTGTATATTTTACACTTATTTTCTTTAAGATTTTTTTTCAAAGTCGGAACAAACAAAAGTGTCTTTTCGTCTTATCTTTTTGTATCATAAAAAAATAGCAAAACCCAATTTTTTAAATTATTGTATTTTTTCAAAGTTTACAAAAAATCTATTTAATTTCCCTTGTAATTGTTTTTGAGATCAATTGCATATTGAAATGTCAAGACACCTCAAAGTCTTTTATTTGTTTTCTTTTCTTTGTTATTTCATGATGTAATTGATTTTGAATATTCCAGACCAGTATGTTTTATGATGCAATTTGGTCTTTGTTATATTTTATAATTAATTTTATTATCGTAATTGGTTGTGGACATCTCAATAAATGTTTGATCTGACTTTTCCATTGAACTGTGACTTGTTTCTGAAAGGATCAAGCAAAAAAGTGAACCTATGTTCATCTCAACTTCAACAAAAAATTCACTTTTTTTACTATAATTTATAACATTTTACTATAAAAATATACTAGAGCCGTCGTTCCAGGGTGTCTAGCTTTTTTTTGAAAAAATTAAAGAAAAAAAGTCACATTTACATTACAATTGACTAAGATTTTTATTTTTTTACAAATTTTGATTTTTCCCGTCCTCGAAAGGGTTAATAAGGTAGTAATTTGTAAAAAAATGAAATTTTTTTAATTGTTCAACATTGGTATTCCAAAAGTACTCTGTCATATAACAATAACATGTAATATTATTATTATA